CCCCCCAAAAAAATATTTTTTTTTAATATATTTTCACTTTTAGGTTTTTCATCTTTCGATTTACAAGTTCGAAATTTTACAAGTTTCAAAGTTATGAGTTCGGAGATTTATGTGTTTGAAAGTTTACGGGTTTAGAAATTATAAATTTTATGGGTTCAAAATTTCGCAGTTTCGAAAGTTTAGCGGTTCGGAAGTTTATGAAATTTGTGGGTTCCAAAGGTTGTTGGTTCGAAAGTTTATGCCTTCATGTTTATTGTATCTAAATTATTTATGAATACTCTTGAGAAGTTATTTTCATTAATTTGCATACCAAACACCGGAAAATGAATAAAATTACTACTTGTTTTCCAAGAAAACATTTTCTTGAAAAATATTTTCCTTAGAAAACATTTTCCGTTATACCGAACACGCCGTACATGTCTAAATTCTTGAGAAAAAATAGTTATATTTACCTTTCAACTTTTGACTATAGTTCAAAATTAAACTTTATATTGAAGTTCCAACCGTAATCAACGGAAAACGAGATTTATTCTATAAAGCCAACATAATATAAGGCCAAACGTCTAACAGAAGGCAAAGTTACTCGGGCAGATTTGACATTACTGCCTAAACTTTTTGTAGAAATAATGTTCATCATGGTCAGAACACTGAGAAAGAATTTCAAATGGAAGACGAAGAAGAAAGATATAAGAGAACAAGTTGAAAAAGACCAGCAATAGTTGTGTCATGCGCGGCTTTTCAGCCATGCCCCATGACCCCTTGGACGCGCCCCGTGGCGTCCTAGCAAGCCTTCCAACGCCTAGCGCCACGGACGACTCCGTGGTCTGGGCCGCGCCAAGTGACAAGCGCGCATGTGCCTCTGTCGCCCCACCGATGTCCCTCGCTAGCGCTCAGCCACAAGCAGCTGCCAACAACGCCGCGCGCGCAGACAATGCCGCGCGCGCAGATCGTGATGCCTGAGACAAAGTTGCTGACAACGGACCTGTTTCTACCTTGTAGAAAACTAAGTCCTTTTCCTTGTAAATATAGAGTAGTTTTATTCCTTGTAATTTCATTATGATCCTCTAGCTTAGTTAGGTCTATTCCTTTAACTTTGGTTTATTTTTTTTAAGCATTATTAGGGGGGATCAAGCATTCGAAAACTTTCTAGCAAACAATTCTCTGTATTGGTGTCTCTCCCCCTCGACACCGCGTTGCCTACTTTTGTATTAACTTTCATTAATGCAATCAAGCTTTCATTCAATTCTCATTACTGTTATCTCAATTGTTGACATTGGTTTTCCCGTACGGCAATGACAATCTAGTCTAGCGTACGGAGGGGACCCCATTTGGCAGACAGCAATCGCCCTGGCATTGATTGCTTAGCCTTACGTCGCCCTTCCAAAAAAAAAATCTCAGGAAGGCGCCGCGTAACAGTTGTTATGATGTAACATAGATTGTGAGACATGGAATATCTCCTTATATAGTCCAGAATAATTCTCACCTCATGAAACCTCGGAGGGACTTCCTGTACCGAGAAATTCTACCGTAGTCGGTACAACTATGATATTTGATCCTGCAGTAACTACTAGGTTTGAGAGTTAAACTCAAAATTTATATTTCGCCATGAAATTTAAGCCAAACCCATCTCACTTCTTGATTTACTTGACGTTGAGTACATTTTTGAGCTTTTCCATATAAGAGTTAGGTTCAAGATTCATTTCTAGACGTTGAATTAGGTTCAATGTCATAGAGTGGTAAGATATCTTGTAGAGAAAAAAGTATCATACAAACAAAAACTTTTCTTGATTTCTCTGTATCAATTTAGAACCCGTCTGGACATAAGAAAAATTTCCATTTTTTCAAAACAGTGTTTAGTTATTAAAATCTTACAATTTTTTCAATCTCATTTTAAAATGCATTTTCAAATTGAAAAAACCAGTGAGAACCGATTTTTCAATTGAAAATTGGAAGGTTGGTCTTTTCAATATTTACAAATTTACCCTTTATTTTTAAAATTTATAAAAAGACCCCATCATTTATTAAGCTAGGTAACCATAAACTACTCACTTTCCCTTCCATAAAGTCAGAAACACAAAACTCAAGCAGCAGGTCTTTTTCTCACCAAAGTGTGCAGCTGCCTTTCCCACTAGTCCTAGTTGATTATATGATTGTTTGTTTCAAGAAGGTTAATCAAATTGGGATGATTTTGATATTTTTACAAATTGTGGGGTAAAAAAAGACTTCCAAATATGTTCCAAAAATTATAACCAAACACAACTTCATAGCCGATTCAAATTTTAGTGAAATTCCAAATTTGAAAAATAAAATTGAAATTCATGTCCAAATGCCTACTTAGTAGTTAGTACCATGTGAGTGGAGGATTAGAAATGGAGACTAATAAAGACTCCTGGTCATTGACATGAGTGGCAAGTGTAAAATGATGTTTACGGAGTAAAGCTGCAAAATGATGATCTAAATCACTAAATTAGATGGCGCAAAGAAGTTTTTGCACAAACAAGAAGCAATTCGAATTTAGCAAATCTACCATTGACATGTTTTCACTACAATTTTCACTCTCCTATCTTCTAGGACATTCTTTTAAACTCAGAACCCCAGAGAAGAGATACATACTAGTATCTATAAGAATTATGCGACTACTGTATAATCACCCGTCAAAAGCTAACAGACTTGACTATAAGGACAGCCCGGTGCACTAAGCTTCCGGGGAAGGGCCGGACCACAAGGGTCAAAAGCTAACAGACTTGGCTATTAGGAACCACCAAAATCAAAAACCAAAGTTAGCCTAATACTCTGGTTATCCATGTACACCGGAGAATTGCTGTAGAGAACTCGTACCTCCTTTCTTTCTTTTGCAAGCCTCTTCATCAGTCAAATGTTAATCGATCATTCAAATGTTATATCAAGCAGCAAGGACAAGCACTTTTATTGTCCCTTGACTATTTGCCGTTAGAATTGTTGGGCTGTCACGTTTCCAACAAACAGCACTGATGAAATATGATCCCATGTCCCCATCTGGATCATTCTGATCATCAGAACCAAATTTGTGCCAAGCTGCTGGCTTAGAAATTGCCTGTACATGTATTACAAACTATATTAAGCACTGGAAAATGATGTTCCATCGCTCATGTATCTGGATAATGAGACTCGTTGTCAAATACTTTCAGAAATATACCTTGTGATAAACAAACACTTCATTTGTCTCGCTGCCACATGCAAGGTATTCTCTGTTTACTGTAAGCCCCACAAAGTTCTTCTCATTTGCATGTCCTTTAAAAGTACGCAGCTGAAATTAAAAATAGAACAAGGATAATGCTGGTCAGAAGTTTGACAAGTCTGTCGAAGAGAATATCAATTCAACTTCATTACATTATATGAGTGAGAACAGGAATTAAGCAAAACTATAATCTACCTCTCCTATCCGTCCTTCACTTTTTCATTTTTCTAATTCCTTTTAGTTCATGCCTATGGTCCATATTGCAATGGTTTTCTCAGAGCATGATTACTTACTGGAACATTCTCTCTGACATCCCACAAACGCAATGTACTATCTGTTGATGCAGAAGCTAGCTCATTGTTGGATAAAAACTTTACGTAAGAAACAGCTTTACGGTGCCCACTGAAAATATGCAGTGGCTGGCTAACATTTCTCAAGTCATAATAGTGAATGTGATGATCGGCAGAACCTACCTGCAAGATATCGGATCATGATTTAGCATAGAATTTAACCCTTTAACATGAGATACTATAATTGAATGCATTGATGCAAGGGGAACCCAAAACCGCTTTTGGGGGACAAGTAAAGAGGAAATGAGAACTTACAGCTACATGAACACTGGATCCAGGATTATACTTCACTGAGCAAATGTTAGCTTTCATGTCAATCGTAAGAACGCTTGCTTCCTGCTTCGTGCACCAAACTTTGACCTGTTGAGAAATTAATTTAAGCTTATTCCAAATCTTTACAAGTATATAACTCGCCAAAACAACTTTTGTTCTTTTGGTTTAGCACACTTTAACTCCATTGTTGGACGACACAAGGCGCAAACCACAGCACCCGACATTGCTCACATTCGAGGATTGTGCTCTACTTCAGTACAAAACCTAATATATATTCTATAATACAGGACAACATAGACAAGGAAAATAAGCCATATTGGAAGTAACTATCGTCCACCACTCTGAGGATCTTAAGCTCTCAACTTAATGTCCAGCTTCTGAACCAGACCTTAATCAGAATATGTCAAACTGAAAATATGATGAATCATCTGTATCTTATCCCTATACTTTACAAGAGAAATTGAATAAACTAAACCATGATAGTCACTCCTAACATAAATGGACACACAGACTTAAGATCTCTGAGCGAAAAGAAATCCAATATATATAAATCCCAATTTCATCTGCCTCACTTGGTCAAAATTGTCAACTTACAGATACAATATGATTGTCACTCCAAACACCAGAATAGAAACATCTCAATTAGAGGAAAGCACATAGCTTGAAGTTCTATGTTACCTTGCAATCATCACTACCAGACACAAGCAGAGAAGGTTCAGTATAGCAAAAGTCAACACTCCATGCTCGTTTTTCATGCTCCTCATACTCCATCACACTCTGTAATAGAAAGTGTAATATTATCTCATCAGATATAAGTGGATATCCACATAAAGGTGCTTTTCATGTCCTAGATATAAGAACAAAATAAACATCTGGAAGAAGATACTACCTGACGAGTTGTAACATCCCAAACCGTCACTATGCCCTCATAGTCACTGCTTGCTAACTGGTTTTTAGTGCACTTGTTCCAGCTCAAACAACTTAATTTGGATCGTGTAGACATTTCAACAACAGGACATTGCGCATCTGCTGGTTCGTTTACCACCTGATAAAGAGAACATACAAGAATTACCTTCTATCTTTTCAAGATAGCAGATTTTATGAAAAACTCAAATCTAGCCATATTATTGAAATTATTTAACTAGGAACAGTGATAATCTCAGTTCAACTAAACTGAACACTGATTTCTCCCAAAACATTTCATTACATCAAAAGCACGTGAAAACCTCAAAAGCCTATCTGGAGAAGAAAAAGGGGGCTAAAAGTCAAGTCTAATTAATAGACATATCATTAAACTAGTAGCAAAAGGTTTTCTGGTAGGAAGATTTGCAGAATTTTCAGAAAGCTCTCACGAAGCATGAACTTACCGATGCAAACTCAAAGACCTTAATTCTTCGTGACACCCCAGCAGTAGCAAACAATTCATCATCTCGGTCAAATTCAATACTGCNATTGTTAAAATAGGAATTTAAGTTTGCAAACTCAAAGACCTTAATTCTTCGTGACACCCCAGCAGTAGCAAACAATTCATCATCTCGGTCAAATTCAATACTGTCAAAAAGAGGAAATTTTGTGAGGCAAGAGTTCTTGCAAAAAAGAGTTGTACTGGGCTTAGAAGAGCAAATAAAACCTCTTGGCTATCAATGGTTTATACTTAAAGAAGGGGATTGCTATAATGTATCCAGAAAAAAGCATATCAGATTACCATATTTTCTAATAACCGAATATCCCTAGTTCTAATTTCAAAAAGTAAGTTATATAATTGAATTATTCTAAATGCAACGAACTTCGTACCTTGAAATTATATTGGCCGAGTGGAAAAGGTCAGAATGTCTAAGTTCAGCAACAACCCTCAAATGACTACATCAATAAGCACAGTAGAAAAAAGCCATAAGCCCAAATACATAGGATAATTTCAAGTCAATACAAAAATCATTAGATAAAAACTGATGAACCTGTATCGCGTAAAGGTAGACAGAACAGATTGAAAATCTTCAAGTCCCGCAGAATAACCTTCTCTATTCATGACATTTGCTACCCTTTCCTCCTGTTTCTCTGAGTGTCTTGCCCAATAGCGCCTCTTTTGCAGGTAACAGGTTTGAAGCTCATTGAACTGCTGACAAATGAACATGTAAGAAGAGAACATATGAACAATGAACAACATCAACAAGCACAATGATAAATTACAGAATTGACCTGTGCGTGAACACGTTTTTTCCTTGCTATTGCCCGTACAGGTTGATTAGGATCCTGTGAATCTGATCCACCGCGGTCATCCTTCCATTGAACAAGTTGAGAAATCCCAGGAGCACCTGCATCAGTGTTCCTGGTCTGTGTAGTACCCACACGAACTTGTTCTTGTGAACCGACAGAACTAGAAACAATTTCACCACCTTCCTTATCTCCCAATGAAGGCCTGACTGCCATTGCCGAAGAATCATCTACTAGCATTCTCATTTTCGCTGAATATCTACTCCTTGCCCTATATAACTCCATTCTATGCTTCTGCACAGCATTTATGTCTTCTTTAATGTACTTGAGATCATTTTGGATCTACGAAATGCGGCAGGATACAATCAATAATCTGCTTGAGTCTTAATTAATCAGCAGAGAAAGATGAGATTAAGGTTGTCTATTCTATATAATATATGGAACTGCCAGTTTGTAAGGACCCTACAGTTTTTAGAGAAGAAATTTAACAAACAAGACGATTTGTAAGAGCACTCCAAATATAATCCCCTTAAATGGGTAGAATGAAAGAAATGCAAACAATATGTACAAAAGGGGAACTCTTAGACATGGTCACATGGGTTTAATCTTTTCAAATAATAACAAAATATGCACCCCTCCTTTCTTAGCAAGTTACCGGAGACAGAAGACGGTTAGAGCTTTCCTGAAATTTACGACTTATATTGCAAAAATATGTCACGTTAAGTCTGACAGAAAAGGCATGCTCCAGGTATCTACCAACTCGATATGTTGCTTTTCCCCCTATAATATTCAATTAAATATTCTTTCTTCAGTTAGAATGCAAAGATACTGTACAAGAAAAGCAAATCCCTACCTGCTGGAGGGATGAGAATTAATAGAATAAAGTACATTAAGTTTTCAAGTTGACAACAGATAAGCTCAAACTAAAAGTGAAATGTGCAAGTCAGAAGAAGTTCAATACAAAACCTCATTAAGCTCTTCAACTTTTTGCTTCCTTAAACACTGGAGAAACTCAAGCAGAATCTGAAGATTTGTTTCAGCTTCTTCTTGTTCCATTTTTCTTTTCTTTTCCATAAGTAGTGATAATAGACTCTCCAGCTCTTTGATGGACACATCGCATCCCTGCCTAAGAATCAGATGAGAATCCTGAACAGATATATGGAAATAATCCCGAAACACTGGCAGAGAGAGTTAAACGGCAAATTCATCTGAGCCTAAGATGGCAGTTGCAAGAAGATAAACAAAGAACCTGACTAAAGAGCAACTGAAATACAAAGTCAGGAACACTCTCCACCAAAACTAAGTTTAATGGACAAAGCTTGTTTAACTTTCCATGCATATCTGACCTGCTGAATTGCTTGGCGAAGTTGTTCCACAGGTGTTGCACTTTTGGCCATTTGGCGAGCAGATCTCTTCATCAATAACTACATAATGGAAAAAACTTTAACACAACTTGGTTTGACTGGCAAATAACCTTCGCAATATGTTAACAACATTCCATAGACTTAAAAAAGGGTGAAGTAATGACCATAAAACAAAAGCAAAGAAGCAAAGAGAAGAAAAATGCAAACAAACGGAATAAAAACTAGAATAAGATGTTTGTCTATCAAGTTTTCACTCCAAAGTTTAGCCCATTATAGAGTTGTGATAGTCTGATAGAATTTGTAAAAACGTACAACAAAAACTCGAAGGGGAGATACAGATCAAACCAGAGTAACGTCCGGTACATTTATATCTACGAATTAACCAAAGTAAAGCTTGATATAATAAACAACAACAACAAACCCAGTATGTTCCCAACAGGTTGGGTCTGGGGAGGGTAGATTGTGCGCAGACCTTACCCCTACCTAGTGCAGGTAGAGAGGTTGTTTCCAATAGACCTTAGGCTCGAAAAGGGTGAGGAGAAAAAGAAGAGAAAAAGCAAGAATGGAAGAGAGAAGAAAAAGAGGGAGATAAAGGATAAGTAGTACCAAATAATAGCAACAGGGAATACAATATCTGAGACAAACAAAATCACATAATGCAATAAAAATCTAAGAATATGAAGGAACATGCGTGCTACTAAAACTATCGATGAGCAACTAAGAAACTACCCACTAACCTTCTATCCTAATCCTCGACCTCCACACCCTCCTATCAAGGGTCATGTCCTCAATGAGCTGAAGCAGTGCCATGTCCTGTCTAATTCCCTCTCCCCAGTACTTCTTAGGCCTACCTCAACCTCTTCTCAAACTCGCCATGGTCAACCTCTCACATCTCCTAATCTCCCTTTAACATGTCTGAACCATCACAGCCTCGACTCCCGCATCTTGTCCTCCACGGAGGCTATTCCCACTCTGTCCTCGATAGCTTCATTCTTAATATTATCTCACCTAGTACACCTAAACATCCATCTCAACATCCTCATCTTAGCTACTATCATCTTCTGCACGTGAAAGTTTTTGACTGGCCAACCCTCAGCCTCATACAGCATAGCCGGTCGAACCACCACTCTATAAAACTTACCTTTAAGTCTTTGCGGCATATTCTTAACATAAAACACCGGAAGCGAGCCTCTATTTTATCCACCCGCTCCGACACGATGTGCGACATCTTCGTCAATCTCCCCGTTATCTTAGATAATAGACTCGAGATACTTAAAACTAGCTCTCTTGAGGATAACTTGAGCAGCTTGATATAATAAACATATTTCTAAAATACCATAAAATACATTCAAAAAGTCCATATAGAGAGTTGTTCATCCTAGTGAAGGGAACTTTCTCCCAGCCACAGAACTGCAGTGTATTCCAACAAATATTTGTCATTGAGGAAGCATATAAAATAGCTTTGGTAAATCATTAATACCCGTAATCATTAGCTGACTTGAAAATTTTGAGCAAAATTAAACATCAATGTCTAAAAACCATGACATTCAAAGGCCAGCGTGATAATTCCTTATGAACCTTTATTTTTTTATTCCTATTGGACTTGCTCACAAAGACCAATCTTTGTTCGGCTTTTCCAAGTTATACCAAAACAGCAGGTAAGCAGGATGAAACTAGATTCCTTCAAAACATTATAGTTGTATTATCAGAACATGATAATTCTCCTAAGTACATCAAAAATCTCACCTTTAAAAAAAAGCGCCTGAAGTCCAATTCATCTCATCTGCTTAAAATTCTGCTCTCAATTTAAAAGGTACTATTACCCAGTAATGCCTAAAAAGCTACACAACATGCTGATCTTAACAGAAGTCGCAAACACATTTTCTGTCTTTGTTAATTTTTTTTTAATTTTGTCTTCGTTCATATACATTTCAAATAAATGTGATAATTACCAGGTGCCGATCCACGGTGTAAGCTATGGGTTCAACAAAACCCAATTTCAGCCTAGACCTGCACCGATATTTACACCAAACCATTTATCATGGTTAAATTATAAATTAAGGTGAAATTGTATACTAATTTCTATAGTTTAGTAATAAGAGTGAAGGTGAAGATATGCTGCCAGGTGCGGGTAAGTTTTTATCCCCAATTATTAGCATTTGAGGTCATTGCCCTAGAATCTGAACCCATAAAATTCAAATCCGGTATACGTTACATCATGTATAACCGAAATTCACAAGAAACATACAAATTTATGGAAAAGGCTTGAAAATTTTACCTTATTGAGTAGGAAATTAGGGTAAAGGCGATTAGTAGTCAAGTAATGAGAGCAACAAGGACAATCACTTTTGTTGTGAAGATGAGTAACAATGCACATGTAACAAAAGCTATGTCCACACGCCGTGAGAAAAGCATCCTTTATAATTTGCATACATATCGGACATAACATGTCCTTATCCACTTCCTCTTCCTTCTCCGGCATTGGAATTTGCTCCTGAACGTCCGTCGTCACTGCCGCCGGTACTGAAGTTTCACCGGCATTCTCCGGCTCCGATTTCACCGTCGGGACTAAAGCTCCGATTGAACGCTCTCCTCCTCCCCCTCCCATCACTACTATTGAAGCTAAGGTTCGAATCAATTTTGTTAAAAATCTGAATGCATATATGCTTACGAATGAAGAAATCGGCGAGTGAGTGAGTGAGAGAGAGATGATTACTGTGTGTGTGTGTGTGTTTATGGTTGGGTTTTTGTGAGGGCGTAAACGAACCACGTTGGCGGGTACCCGCGTATTTTCAAAACTGGAGAGACTTGTTAATGCGACCGCCTCATATATATCTCTGGCTGCCGTTATTTTTTAATCCTTATAATATATAGTTTTCTGCACATACAACTATATAAGTAGCCGAAAAGTTTCTTTTAGGCTGCTGTCAACGTATTTACTACTGTTCGTAATAAGTGATTTTTTGGTCTTTTTTTATGGTCTAAAATAAATAAACTTTTTAGATTTTAATAATAAATTAATTATTTTTTCCTACATTGTCGTTGGAGTATATATTAGAAGTATTTATGTGAAGAGATATTAAAGGTTATTATGATCAATTTCATTGCTATTTAACTTAAAAGGTGTATTTCTTAATCTATATGAAAACAACCAAAAGAATCACTTATTATGGACCGAAGGGAGTAATATTACTCCCTTCGTCCTAATTTACGTGATAGTATTTGATTCTACATTAAAATTTAGAAAAAAAAACTTCAGAAATTTATGGTATTAGTGGGCGTTTGGACATAAGAATTGTAAATTTCCAAAAAAAAAAAAATATTTTTTTTAAAGTGAAAATGGTATTTGAAAGTTAGAGTTGTATTTGAATATAAATATAATTTTGTGATTGTTTTTGAAGTTTGGTGAGTGATCTAAGTGAAAATTTTGAAAAAACAGCTTTAGAGTTTTTAACATTTTGGAAAAATTCCAAAATTCATCTTCAAGTGAAAATTGAAAATTTTATGGCCAAACACTGATTTCGGAAAGAAATGAAAATTTTTCAAAAGAAAAGCCAAAAAAATCTTATGTTCATTCACTAAAGGTAAAATAAATATTTTAAAGTTAAATTTTTTTAAATAAAAAAGTATGATATTTTTATGTGACGGACTAAAAAAAGTATGATACATAAAAAGGGAGTACTATATATTACCTATCAAAAGTATTTTGCCTTTCTTTTTAAATTTTATTTTAATTTGCATTTAATCAAATATGTATGCATAAAATAGGACAAAGTATTTCTTAAATTTCATACATATCTTTTTCAACAAAAAGATAATACATATATTATGTGTATTTGACTTATAGATGAAAATCATTCTTTAATTTTTAAGATTTTATGTCTGAGCTATTAACCTTCCCATAAAATGATTAGGAGGAATTAATAAATAAAATGAGTGACATGTTGTATTGTATCATATATCTAACCAGTTGTATTTTTGCATCGTTAGTTTATAAATCTTACTATGAGTTACTTTAGTTGTTGTTTTTAAAAATCATTTAATCAAATGTTTTTAGAAATGAAATAAAATATACAAGTTAAACCTTTTTTAAGAGTTTGTACAAAATAATAACTTATATTCTCTCCGTTCACTTTTACTTGGCATGTTTTGACTTTTTACGTCCTTTAATAAATAATAAATGAAGTGCATAATTTACATGATACCCATATTAATCGATGCTTATTTTATTGGATTTGAAAAAATAATTTGTAATGACTAGTAAATATTATGGGTATAACATGAAAAAAAAAATTATCTTCTCTTAATATACGTAAAATGATAAATAAAAAATAAAAATTTATTTTTAATATATATTTTAAGTAAAAATAAACGAAGTGAGTAATAAATTATATCAGACAAAGGAGAGAATTTAGATATTGGCCACAAGTTGATAATGAGTTGGACATTGCAATTTAATGCATCTCTAGCCAAACCTCTCTCACATCAATTATCAAAACCAAAGATGGGGACTATACGTAAGTGCAATAAAGGAGAGTCCTTAAAACTTGACAATGGAAGAGGGAAAACAATTAATTAGAGTCCTCTTTGAAATTCGATATATAAGGTATTTCGTGTTCACATAACGTATTTTGTGTTCACACAAGATTCGAAAAAGAGTTGTAAATGTAAACAGTCTAATATATTAATTGTTGTCTTTAGGATTCGAACTCGTGATTTATAGGTCACGGGGAGACAACTTTACCGTTGCTCCAAAACTTCCTTATGAAGTCCTCTACGTAGTAGCGAAGAAATTTTTTTTTTTTGATTAAACTGCAAAACTTTTATTTAACCAGGTGAAATATGTATATTCACCCGCTCATTGGACTCTAGAGTCGGGTCTTACAAAAATAACCTATTTTTGACACTTAAGTTCCACAACCGGACCTTAAGTATCTATACTAACATGGAAATTAAGACTCTTCTCCATTTATAATAACTCTCACCTTTAATATGTAAATGTAATACAATTTCTCTAACTATATACCTATTTTCTCTACTTGTCTGTTGAAATCTTCGAAAGTTTCTTTCCATCTATGTTTGGTATACTACTGTTGCAAATGCACTTCCCGAGATCTTCCAAATTGCTTTTCTGCTCTTTGTTTTAGTTGACATCCATGCAGTTTCCTCATGCCAGCTTCCTACTAGTCGATTGATTTCAAAGAGTTTCAACAGCTGCTCCCAGATAAATCTTGAGTATGAACATTCAAAGAACAAATGTTCATGAATTTCCTCTGTATTAGTCATACATAGAACATTCCTTAGCCACTGTTATCCCCCATTTTCTTAGCCTATCTACCGTTGCTAATCTCTGATGCAATGCTATCCATAACACAAAGTGATGTCTAGGAAGCAATCCTTGTGTCAAAAATAGAGATTTTCGGTTGACCTTTGGACATTGTGGCATAAATGAAATATACGCTTTACTGATGATATACTTCTCCTTTACTGCATATAGCTCAAACTCCTTCACTCCATTAGTTAGCCATCTTCTTGCTTCAAATATTTTCCTTATCACCCAGCTAGCTTGTTTAAGAGTTTCTATACTTTATAACTCCTTCTTCTTCATATAGTGATTATGAATCCATATAACCCACAACTTGTCCTTCTTTTGTGCTATTACCCATAGTAGTTTACCTATTGCCGCATTGTTCCACACTGAGAAGTTTATAACATTCAAACCTCCTGTTGCTTTGGGTCTACAAACAGTTTTCCAAGCTATTGGTGCCTTCTTCCCTTCAATGCTTTCTTTTCATAGAAAATTCCTACATATAGCAGTAACCATTTCATGAACTTTCTTTGGAGTCAGAAAGACTTGTGCCCAATATGTCTGCATTTCAAACAACACACTTTTGATCAGCTGCAAGAAGATTATTATACATACAATCAAACCTCTCTATAACAATCTCGTTTGTTCTAAATTTTTTAAGATACTATAATGAAGTGCTGTTATAAATAACATATATTATAACATAACATAAAAATCGATTCCAGAAAAATTTAGCTTTTATAGTGAAGTATTATTATATATGGATTCTATTATAGAGATGTTTAACTGTATATGAAAAATAATTTTGATTATATAGTAAAATTTTTCGACAAAGACTGTTCAATTGTCCACCTTTAATGTATAGCTACGCCTTTGCCTCTATGAATACGTTAGTATGAATGTGTGTATGAAAGACATATTTTATATTTATTAAATTGGTATAAATAGTGAATAAGCTTTTATTATAAATTCATAGGTTGACAACATGTTGCGGACAAACCCACATTTTTAATTCAATACAGTTTTTGATGTTCACCCTTGTTACGTTGTCATAAAAAAGGTAGTGATAGTGGACAAGTGGTGTACTTCCATTGCCTTACAACTTGTTTGGACGGTTATTACGTATTATTTTATAATATATCGTATTGTATTTGGTGACGGACTTATATGGTGACTAGTAAGTTCAACTAAACCCGCTTCATTAAAAAATAATATTGTGTATATGTATAAATTAGGATTAAAACTGTGTAAATTTTGTATAAATATTTTATTTGAACTCACTTGACAACTATTATTTTACGACCAAAGTTATATATTTCTAGATTAAACCCACTTGCACAAAATTCTGAGTCCACCACTGATCGTACTGTATTTTATTGTGGTCTATCGTTTGATAAATACAATATTTGGATAAATTGTGTCGTTTCATGATATCACACGCCAGCAATATGAAGAATAAATTTGCAATATTATAAAGAAAAATTATGATACATGATAAAATTATTTTATAACAATGAAGGGTGAGATTGAGATAAAAAGACAAGGTAGCGACGCGATCATACCAAATCAGTCATTACATAAAGTGACATATTTCGTCATTATTTAACGACGGATTTAATGATACTATACAATAAAATTTAAGTAACAATAAAAACAAATATCGTATTTAAAGTAACAATATCATAAAATACAATGGGTAACAACCTTCCAAACAAGGTGTTAAAAGTGTTAATCCTATTTTAAAAAGATTAGATTAGATTTAATTTTCACTTAAAACAAGGCTAGAAAGAGAGCATTTAGTAACTAATCCACGACATCAGATGTGGGATTGGCTGATTGATTTTCTGTTCACTTTTTCACAAAACTACTTACATTTCTGTCTTTTTGTTTTGTCTTTATTGTTTCTTGTCATTACATTTTGGATTCTTTTGTAAGATCCCTGAAAAAAGGTACCTGCTAACGTAGCCCGCAAGCTATAGCTGTCAAACAGGCCGGGCTGGCGCTCGTTTCCGGACCGGCCTACACCGATTTTAAACCGGACCGGACCGCATCGGTGGTAAAGGGCCGGGCAAGGTTGGGTTGGGATGGAGATCGTACTATGTCGGGTAGAATTTTTGGCACCGGTTAATCGGTCTAGTACGATTATTAGGGGTGCTCATAAAAGTCCGAAAAATCGAACAAAACCGATCAAAAAAATTGATACTTTTTAGGTTTGGTTTGGTTTTGGTTTTAAATTTTAAAAACCGATCAAATTTGGTTTAGTTTTGGTTTTAATAAAAAAATAACTGAAAATTCGAACCAAACCGACTATAAAAGTAACTATTTAAATTTATATTGCACCTATATATATATATATGTATATTCTTATATAAAGTTTCTAAAATTTTATGGTACATATTAGCCATTTATTTTTTTAGTCTAGTTCTTTGCTATTATAATAATCTAATTCTTTGTCTTCTAGTTTGATTGGTAGTTTCTTTTGCTAAATACAAGAATTTATTTCATGTTAAAAATAATTAATTTTTAATTGAGTACTTAAATTATTTATCACTATTTGAGTCAATTATCATTAATATATCTTGATGAACGATAGATTTCTCAAAGAGCAATTGATTTGACAGTGTTACATTGAAAATGTAGTTGCCGGAATACGCATTTGGTAGTGTATGTCTCATATTTAAGAAAAAACCAATAAATAATCGAAAAAATCGAAAAACCGACAAAAACCGAATCGATAAAAAAAACGACTTAATTGGTTTGGTTTGGTTCCAATATTTGAAAAATCGACTTACTTGGTTTAGTTTCTTTTTAGGGAAAAACCAACCCAAACCGAACCACGAACACCCCTAACGACCGTTATGGTCAAGTCATATTGGAACAGGTTAACCGAACCGGCTCGGACCGGTTCAATGGTTATTTTTTGATTTTTTGTTTAATTTTAGAAATTATGATTGTTATACAAAAAAAAACCGAACCAACCCATTAGGTCCGGACCGTTACAGTATATTTTGCACCGGCAAAGCCTGGAACCGTTCCTCTACCCTTGACCGACCCGGCCCGGCCCCTTGACACCTATACTGCAAACGTATTGATTAATTTGGTGCATCAAGCCATCAACTATCACAGGAATATGATCTTATGCCATCACAAAGTTGTGATGGGATAAATAATATTTCTTTATATTTAACCAGAGGTTCTATATTCGAGCTTTACGTGTGAAAAAAGTTCTGGTAAATAACATTTTCTTTTTACAAAACTTTATGCAACGAAGAATTAAATTAGTCAAAACCCTAATATATATAAGCTTCCATTGAGCCATAATTTTGGCTTTATTTTTCAAAAAAACTTGAAAATATTATTTGTTTTTAAAATATGATCATGTTTTGGGAGAAAAGAAATTACTCAATTGGCTAGGGTGACCTCATTTTGCCTTACCAACCCTAGGAAAACTCTGAATACAAGCCTAGATCGTTTGTATAAACAGACTTGTTGGGTGCTAAAATCCAAAAAATAAGCCTCAAGCCGATAAATCATTATGTTCGATAATTTTGAAAAAAGACCTCTCGAATCACGATACACATGCTATATATGTCATGCCGGCACCCTGATCTAGACATCTACTCCAGATTATTTATCTTATTATGATCTTCTTACGGTCATCCGTCTCTTTCTCTGTTACCTCTTTGTTTCACAAGGATCGAAACTTTCCCAAAAGTTTTCAAGTTCTTAAAAATTAATTTTTTTGGTGAATATTTCTCTTCCACTTATAAAATATCAATGTTTTTTCAATTAAAATACATATTCAAATATAACTTCAAGTTTTAAAAAATATTTTTTAACACAAATTCAAAAATTATTTTTTAAAGTTCCAATCAAATCTACGTCCAATTGCGAGCTAAATATAAAATACGAGATGAAAACAAAAAAAAGAACCCACCAAAAAGAAGACCGGCAGAAAATGTTATTTTCGACAAGAAGAATATCTGTTTGAATCAAGCAATACCGAACAAAAAGGGTCAAATCTGGTGGCGGCTAGATTACGTATTTTGAGTTATTCATAATTAAAGATTAATATTAAAATATTTGCTCCAGTCTATAATAAGTGATAAATTTATTTGAATATATTTATTAAGCAAATATTAAGTTCTAGATAAAAAATAATAAGTGTGAGTAGGGTAACCCGGTGCACTAAGCTATCGCTATGTGCGATACCCTTAATTATATGTTGCAGTATAATTAAATATGAGGAGTAAAAGACTTTTTAGGGATACGTACATAAAGTTAATTTTGAAAAAATAAATTGGATTTTTTTTATTATATAAATAGACACTTATTTTGGACTAAAATAAAAAGATAAACTGATCACTTATTATGGAATTCCCTCCGGTACACAATAAGTGATCAATTTACCTTGGGCACACCCATTAAGAAATACTAAATTCTAGACAAAAATAGTTAGTGAGACTAAACTACCATTAATTAAATGTTGCAGTATAATTAATGTAAGGAGTAAAAGGTTTTTTAGAAATATGTATGTAAGGTTAATTTTGAAAACGATAAATTAGATTTTTTCTTAATTATATAAATTACTTATTTTAAACCAAAATTAAAAGACAAACACCGACCAGAATAAGCAAGGCTTAGATTATCAAATCCTGAACACAATCTTCTTAGAGATGAAGAGCCTCTTGCCTCGATCGCTTATCGTAGCCCGAAGGGAATATTAAATAATACTTGATTAAGTTACGACAAAAATTTATTAAAAGGAGAAATTGCAAAGAGGTGGCGATTATATATGCTCTACCTTAGAGAAAAAGAGACAATCAGGATAAATATGTTTGTAAATTAACTGTTATGTATGGAGTATTTAAATATTACTCCGTTCACTTTTTTTTGGCATATATATTAAAAGTATATTTTTATTTTTATTTGTCACTTTACTCATATTAAGAGAAGATAATTTTTTTTCTCTGTTATATTGCAGTATTTATTAGTTATTTTAATTATTTTTTCAAATTCAATAAAATATGCATTTCATTTATTATTTTTTAAAGAACGTAAAAAGTCAAAATGTACTAAGTAAAATGATCGAGAGAGTATATTGATAGTTTAAATTAAAATTCACTAAATTCTAATTCCAAGAATTCAAATGGAAAACCATTGGTATAAATGATTGGCTGATTCTTTATTCATTTCTCGGAACTAGTAGCTAATAAACGTGGACGAATAAAGAACTGAAATGTTATGGGTCACGTAATCAGTGGCGGATCTAGAATTTTAAAGTGACGGACACTTATCGATAAAATTCGAAAGAAGAGAAAAAAAGATTTTAGTTATGGGTACTCACTCTATATTAATCTAACTATTTTATAATTGTCTATGCAAATTTACTATCCGGTTAAAAATAATGGATGATCAAGCACCCATAAGTATCTATGTAGATTCGCCACTGCATGTAACATGGGACATGGCCAACAAACCTATTTTTAACGTTATTTGTATATCATGTCCTTTTTATAATTTTGAATTTTAAAAGTTAATCTTTTTAAATTTCGTACGTATAAAAAAGATTTCTTATATGTAAAAATAAATCTCATATGTATAAAAAAAAAATAGGATCATACAATTAAAAGTAAGTTTATAAATATAGTCAGAAATCAGAATATGATCAGTATATTCAATGTACCCAACCAATAAAATATTGGAAAAATAAAGAGAAAAAAACAAAATACCTCTTCTTGACCCAACTTTTTAGGCTTACATATGTGGCTTTAAAGCAACCATTAAGTACACTTACTCATGACCTGACAATATGAGTGAAGAAGATATTATTGAATCAAATAATATGGAATAAAGGGATTCTGTTTAAGCGAAAATTAAAAATTTTATAGCTAAATATTGAGTTCGAAAAAAGTAAAATTCTTTTGGAAAAAAAGTGAATCTTTTTTTTGTGTCGAAAAGGGTTCTTAGAATTTTGAGCTACACTCTCTCTAGGAAATATCTTCCTTCCATACAATGTGTGTCGGTCGGTATTTGTAAAAGGTAGTAAATACTTTGTAAATTAGTTAAAGTACGAGCAAGCTAATTATATGCCTCTCTAAGAGAAAAACTTTTAATTCTCGACAGGGAAGCCCCATAGAATTCTTCTTTGTTGTGTTGTTGTCGTAAAATAACGTTCTTCGTTCCGTCGTCGATCTTCCAATTTCTTCCGGTATGCCGCTCCGCCAGCAAGGAGCAAAAGAACCGACGTTCGACTCCACGTTTCCGTTGAACAGTTCCGCAGTAGCAAGACGAGTGAATAAAGGCGCTGTAAGCAGTAGTGAATACTTTTTCCATGGAGACAAACCCCTCCGGCGGAAACATTCCCTTTGTCTATATATCAGTGTCATATTCACATAATCGGATCTTAGTTGTGTAATGCCAAGACACATATACTCTTTAGGATGACCAATTATTGGTTCGAATCTATAATTGGACACCAAATTTTCCTGGATCATTTCAAGGCAGAAACTGCATTTTCATGCCTCGTCTCACAAATTTAATAAATATATCAATTCATATCTCCATTTCTGCAAAAAGTGGCAAGTAACATAATTTCTTTCCCTCGTGAAAGCCGGTATCTCACTTTGAAAGAGAGTCTCGACATGATGGTGTACACTCACTCCATAGCTAAGCTTATCACGGGCTAAAGGACGACCGACCGGCCAGGGGGCGGATTTAGGGGGCGGAAGGGGATTCGAACCCCCTTGCCCGGAAAATTGCACTATACATATAAGACACAATCTATCTTTTATCTCTATATAGTATACTTCGAATCCCCTTAAAAATAGCTCAAACGTATAGCTTAGTGGCCAAGGGGACTGGTTCAATTCCCACTGGCCAAATCTTTTTAAATTTTTAAACTTTCTCTTTTTTGAACCCCTTAGCAGAAATCATGTCTCCGCTGTTGCGACTGACATGTGTGTGTCTGTGTGTTTATATGTGATGTGTCATGTGTGTGTGTAACCAGTTCATGGGGTAACACATTCTGCTCTTGTATTATAGATCAACATAAAGGAAAACAACTAAAAACTTGATCAGGGTACAAATTATCTAGTGGTTGACATAACAAGTAAAGACTAAATTGTTGAAACTTTCCAAAAGATTATATATGTAATACATTCAGTACATATGAAAGCAGAAAACAACCAAATTCTTACCCATCTTTGGGCATTTTGACATGCTCTACCTCAGACAAAAAGATACAACATGGATCTATATCTTTGTATTGCTATACTAGTATATACAAGTATAGTTTAGTTGGTTGTCATTTTTCTTGCTCTACCTTCTGGTGACTTGAGGATCGGCGACAGATTTCTTTATACAATCCACGATACCTACACAATCAGCCTGAGGCACGGGACACCCTGAATTATCTTCAGGGTCATCACAAGGATCTGTGTGTGGAGAGCGAAGGCTCCCATGCGTTTGACAGGCTTTCATTGTCTTACAATGCTCTGCTTCGTCATCTCTAATATTCATGAATACGTCGTACAGATTATCTAAATAGGAAACATGAGTTCAATCAAAACTGTACTCTTTCACTTGTGTAAAAAGATTTATCAAAAGTAACGAAACAGCGTTCCTTTCTCCAGATAAACATATATCTCAGCTATAAGATAGGGAGGCACGAAATGTTACCACCGCTAGAGAATTATAAATATAAGTGTTAACAACACTTTGTACCCTTCAGTTTTCGACAAAAATATCACTGAAAATTAACAAAGACGTCTAATGGAACATCTCAATAGATTGGCCAGGGATCAGGATATGAAGCGTATTTATGCAAAAGTCATCTTATTAAATAATCTAAACCAAGCTCAATATCGAAGTTCAGGAAGAAAGAGGGTTAAACAGCGACATGATAGAATATCATTGAGGTGACTTTACCTATCTTTGGTCTTCGAGTATTAGGCTCTCGTGAAGTTTGAAATTCATCTGAAGCAATCACAAGATGGTTTAGATTACTGAACCAGGTGGAAATTATTTGGTCATAAGTTTATTAAGTACCGCTGTAACACTTACCAAACAAGTACAAGTCACCTCCCGTGTAGTAGCTCACGGCAATCTTTGGAGCGGGCAATTTCTTTAATTCATCTGCAGAAGCATTAACACTGAATATTACTACCATTTGAGGTTAAAAATCTAATAGCATTAAACTATCCCAGAAAAGGAATTGACTAGAAATATATGCCTATTCTTCCATCTTCCCTCTTCCCGAGGTCCTTGTTCCTTTTCAAACATAGTGCTATCCTTGAGAGAGAGCCAAACAAACTAAAGGAAACTACCATGTCAAATTCTGGCAATTCCACTTTGCTGTTCAAAATATGCAACTGTTTGTAAAATAATACCTCCTTGATCCTTGATGAATTTGTCGTAAGTCTCGTATGCGTGGTTCTCCACGCATTCAGAGAAATGATCTGCAAGAATTGAAGCACCACCAAACTGTATCAGTGAAGGGTCGTGTCAAACATAAAATCATGACCAATCACTATTGTCACTTTCGGGTATATAAATCAAAGGATTTAAAACTAGACAAAGAACACGTGCACGGAAAAATGCCGAAAGCAGTAGTTTCATCTCCCAATTCTGTAAAGAAGCAAGATAGGTAAAAGATGCTACATAGTTTTTGATAAGGTAAAAAGGCTAAAACACTTTTCCTGGAAATATTAAAATTGGTCTATAAGATAATGATGAATATTCCAGCTATTATCGACATCCATAACCATACTCTTTTAAACAATAAAAAGCTATGAAAAACTGAAAGGAGATAGAGAAAAGCTCTAGAGACGCGAACGTTAGATCCTAATATTACAACTTACATGCCATTCTTGGGCTCAAAGCATACATTAAAACTGTCATGAAATAATAGAATACTGCAACATGCTGCGCAAGGAATCGGTCAAACCACCAGGCATTTCCTCCTAATTCCTGCAGTTGAACAACAATTATTTCAGGACAGAGAAATATAACTATGAATTATTTTCAATTCAAGTAAATAAGGCTTTGTGATGCACAATAAGTTGGTCCATTACTTTAAAGCACGAAACACTCAGAAGATCCCATATGAAATAATACATTTCTCTAACAAAAAGTTTAAATCCGCACGTGAAGAAAATGTAAGATCGAGCCAATCATATCGTAAAACTTGCTGAATAAACCATGCTTATTAATGAAAAAATATACGTAGAAGCACTAACGACTTTGGCAAGACAGATGCTTATCAGTAGTAGTACATTAGAAGGAAGAGAGGAAAAATAAACTTGGGTATTTGTTGGAAGGAAATCAAGAAACTAGAAGCGAGAGCGTTACTTCCATAATGAGTAAATGGTGCATCTCATTCCAGCTCTCAGCAAAATGCACCTTCAGATAATCTGCTCTTCTCCACCAACCAAAGCTCTCATACATGTGAAGAACAGATATAAATGCTGTCATGAATACATGATAATCCACATGTCAATACCGTGCACACATATGTTCAAGCCTAAAGAAAATAGTAGAATTAAAATATTCCTAAATTCAGAAGGATGAAAGTGGTCTAGTACTACAAAAGAATCAGCAGCGTGAAACATAGTGTTTACCAAAATAAGGAACTCTTGCAATTGTTTCCAGCACGAAAAACCTTGCATAGTTTCGGTCGTGATACAAAGTGTCAAGAATCTTTATCACCGAATCCTGAAATTATCAGAGCATAATTTGATCACAATGCCATTACTTTTTTCATCTGTTCTCCAGAGAGTCTATCGGAAACAGCCTCTCTGTCCTTCCAGGGCAGGGGTAAGGCTACGTACATTTTATCCTCCTCAGACCCCACTGTGGGAAATGACTGGGTTTGTTGTTGTTGTTGTTATTATAATTTGATCACAATCAGACAAATTCTTAGCCAATTAGAATGTACAAAAGCTACTTAGGACTAAATCCTATGCGCTGAAAAATATTCTTGAAATACATAGTTCTCATGAAATATGATACTAAGCGAGATTCAGAAAATCCAATACCTACCGTGAGAAAGATATTTATAGACTGCTCAACCTTTACAACCCATTTCTCCAAACCGTTAGGGGATGAATCATCTGGTGGCTCTCCATTACTTCCCCCTCCCATTTTGGTCGGAAAACTCTTAGGTGCAAAAGATTTCTCCACAACCACTTCCTCTTCATTCTCTTGTAACAACGTTGCTCGAACCCTGCATGGTTTTCTGCATACAATTGAACAACCAAAAGACAACTTAAACAAATCAACCTTTCTTTTCCACTAAACTTCTACCGAAACATCAATCAACCAGCGAATTCTCTACAATATGAACCGCAAAGCAATCAATCAACCAACTATGCCTCGACATTCAACCCAGTATTAGGTTGGATTAGCTATATGAATCCACTATATTCGTTCTGCTCTATTTGGATCCATTTTATTCCAATACAACAACTACGCTTCATCCCCGAACACGTTGGAGTCAGCTATATGAATCCTCACTAACCATATCACCATTTAAGCTCAACTCATGCCATTATATCCATTTCATTTCCGATATTACTAGACAATTTAACACTTGAGACATAAATACACAACAATGTAAATTAGAGAAAAATTCAGTTACTACTAAGCTTTTGCAAGGCCCAACCCTCAATAGTTTTTGCTGGTAAATACCCAACTCCCAAATTAATACTAATAAATACAAACTGATTAAAATACATGCTAAATCATCCTCTAGAAATGAAGAAGATCCAACAAAATATCAAATTTTACTATTCTCTATTTCCTTCTTTTTCCCCAATTGCCAATATCAAATAACAAGAAACAACAACAATAACAAACCCAGTATGTTCCCAACAGGTGGGGTCTGGTAAGTTAGTTTGTACGCTGACCTTACTACTACCTGATGCAGATAGAGAGACTGTTTGCAATAGACTCTCCGCTCGGCTCAGAAAGGGCAAGGAGAAGAGGAAAACAAGAAGGAAGGAAGAGATAAAAGAATAAGTAGTACCAAATAATAGCAACAGAGAATACAATATTTGAGGCAAAACAAAATCACATAACACATTATAAATCAATAATAAGAAGGAACATGCGTGCTACTAAGACTACCAAATAACAAGAAAGATGGGTAAAATTCATTTTTTTTTCCAGCTAAATTTAAATAAAGACAATAACTTTATAGTATAATTTACCTTGACACATAACGTTGTGAAGATCCATAAGAATTTTGAAGTGAAAAAAGAGAATTGAAACAAAAAGGAGTCTGAGAAATGCATAAAAATGATGGGTTTTCAAGATTTCTTGATTTGAAATAAGAAAATGAAGGAACTGGGGCTCCAAAAGCCATAGATGAAAGATAAATCGCCATTGTTGAACCTTTTGCCTTCCCAGTAAATCGACCTAATACTATAAGTCGGCCAGGGAAGGTAAGGAAAGTCGTTAGTTTTTTTCTGAGAAACCAATAGCTGTGTCAAACTGGAAAATGGACAAAAGTGCAATGGAATTGGAAAAGCTAGGGATGGTTTTGAAAAGTATCAAAATACTTTGTCGTTATTTGCAAAAATAGATATTTTTAAGGACTGCGATTTTCATTTACTGTAATATTGGTTCACTATATTTTTGGGAAAAATCAAAAATAGTCATATTTACCACTGGTAATTAAAAAATAGTCATGGTTTCAAAAGTAATTAAAATTTAGGCATATTTTTATTTAAATATAAAATCTGAACAAAACACCTTTAAAAATTCGAAAAATGCCAGCATAATATGCTGGAGTTCGGATTTTTTTCCGTGTGCCGGAGGTCCATCATAATATGCTGGAAGTTTATACACAAGAGCTCCATAATCCCGCATAGTATGCTGGAACTTTCCTTGTTTAAGCAAAACAATAGCTATTTTTCAATAATTTTGTAAATGTTGGCTATTTTTCGATTACCAATCCAAAAAATAACTAGTCCGTGCTATTTTCACTATATCTTTTGGGGTGATTTGCAGAAATAAGCCATTTTTGTGCCACTATTCAAGTTTTGATCCGTTTATTTAAATTTTGTAAAATAACTTACTGGTTAGAACTAGCCACAATTTTTAATGGATTATCAGAATTTGACTAACAAAAATTCTAAGCTAAGAATTGACTTACAAAAATTCTGATGAATTGTTAAAATTTTAATACAAATTCGTGTTATAATTTTGGCGAGGGAAGGTAAAGAAAAGAAAATTCAGGAGTTGGAAAAGTTGTTAGTTTTCTATTTGGTGGGCTTGGACTATTGTCATTTTCTGTAATTTTGGTTCAGTATGTTCTTTTGGTCGGTTAAAATTGCGCGGATTGCCCTATTTGGTTGCCCCTATTTAATTTATATCCATATTTTTAAAATTATTTAATATATACCCTAATTTTTACAACTTCAGGCGCCGCTTTCCTGATACTTGTGCAAAACTTCAGCATATTTAGTGCTGAAGCTTTTACAAATGAACTAAATAACTTCAGCATCTTCTGCTGAAGTTTTTGAAAAAGCTTTATTGCAAAACTAATGAATCCCGGACAAAACTTCAGCTTATCTAGTGCTGAAGTTTTTACAAATGAACTTAATAACTTCAGCATCTTCTGCTGAAAATTTTGAAAACGAACTAAATAACTTCAGCACTGAGCTTTTTTGAAAAAGCTTCATGACAAAACTAATTAATTCAGGACAAAACTTCAGCTTATTTAGTGCTGAAGTTTTTACAAATGAACTAAATAACTTCAGCATCTTCTGATGAAGTTATTGAAAAAGCTTTATGACAAAACTAATTAATCCAGGACAAAACTTCAGCTTATTTATTGCTGAAGATTTTACAAATGAACTAATAATTTCAGCACTTCTGCTGAAGTATTTGAAAAAGCCTAGAATGCTTAAGTTTTGTGTGATTGCCTTTGCTACTTCATGCCCGTAAGCCTGAAATTTATGCTAAAAGTGGGTGCGCTTGCAATTTTTTTTGCAAAGCGGATATAAGTTAAAACATGACCAAAAAAACGAATATTGATGCAAAAGCCCCTTTCGTTGGGTAGCAAAAGGAAAGTTTGAGTTATAGTCCGCAAAGTTTGATGGATTATCAGAAAGTTAGGGCTAGTGGGCTAGTTAAAAATATGTTCACAGTTTATAACGTATTTAAAGATTAGTTAATTTGTTCAAACTTCACGACATTATATTGTGTCCAGAAATCCGAATCTTGTGTTCTGAATTTTGAATTAGCAGTTCAGAAATTCATGACACTTAGTCCTGAATTTCAAATTAGCAGTTTAGAAATTTAGGACACTTGCTCCTTAATTTCAAATTAACAGCTCATGGATTCATGATACTTAGTCCTGAAATTTGAATGAATTGATTAATCTTTAAATACATTATAAATTATTGATATAATTTAAATAGCAGACTTAAAAATAGCTACTGATACACTTCGCCCAAATATAATCAGTTGGACTTATCATTTTAAAGTGGGGCATGCTGACCAAAAAAATTACAAAAATGTGATACATTTTTTATGGTCTTTAACTTACCATATTGTAAAATTTTAAGGTCAAAAGTTAAAAGCATTGAATATGAGACAAGTGAAGAGTGACACATGTGGCTTGTTAAACTTGGAAGTTTTACCCATAGGCAAACAAGATAAAAATTTATGGTCATCCACTTTAAAGGCTATTAGGCCTCATTTGTTTGTACTTAATGGTAGTCTGAATTTTAATCATTTAAATTTAAGATATTAAGTGTGTTTGTTTTTAAAATCTAAATTAATCATTCAAATCTTAATCATTAAGTGTGTTTATTTTTTTACTTCACAACCACTTAATGAGTCTGAATAGATCGGTATGATAAAGATCTATAACAAAGACTTAATTTCATTAAGATACTGTCATCAACATTCAATACTAACTGCCTCCTCCC